GGGCGGGGACGGTGGGGGGCCCTGACCCGGAGGCGCGGTGTAACGGCGTTTGTCTCCCCGCAGGCGCCGGGACCGTCTGCGTTTGCGGCGCTTCTTAGGAGAAGGAGGAGGCGGTCGGCGGCGAGGGGCCGCTGCCTGCCGGCCATGTCGGGCCGGGGGAAGTCCGGCGGCAAGGCGCGGGCCAAGGCCAAGTCGCGCTCGTCGCGGGCCGGGCTGCAGTTCCCCGTGGGCCGGGTGCACCGGCTGCTGCGGAAGGGAAACTACGCGGAGCGGGTGGGCGCCGGGGCGCCGGTGTACCTGGCGGCGGTGCTGGAGTACCTCTCGGCCGAGATCCTGGAGCTGGCGGGCCACGCCGCCCGCGACAACAAGAAGACGCGCATCATCCCGCGGCACCTGCAGCTGGCCATCCGCAACGACGAGGAGCTCAACAAGCTGCTGGGCGGCGTGACCATCGCCCAGGGCGGCGTCCTGCCCAACATCCAGGCCGTGCTGCTGCCCAAGAAGACGCAGAGCTCCAAGAAGTGAGCGCTGCCCCCCTCCCTACCCTTTACCCTCTCCCCGACCCCCTCCTCACCGTCGCCCCGCCTCCCCTCACGATAATGGGGCTGGGGTTCCCCTTCCTGCCCCCCAGCCCGGGCTTGGTGAGCCCTGGTGGCACCCCACCAGTCCTCCACTAGCCCCCCAGCCTGGGCTGTGGTGGGGTGCTGGGGGAGCATGGGTGAGGTCAGGCCCTGCTTGTGCCCCCACCCTGCCCCTCTTCCTTCTGGAAGAAGTGTTTTTGGAGGAGGCGGCTGGATCGCTGCTGTCAGCAGTGGTGGCATTCAGAGCTGTGTGGTCGGGTGACAGTGCAGAGCTGCTGGTGGCTGCTGAGGGTTGTTTTGGCTGGTGTGGGGATGGACACAGGCACCCCCGGCCACCTCTGCTCTCTGCCAGCCTTGGGGTGGTGCAGGGCCCCCCTACCCCAGGCTGGCCCCGCTCACCCTGGATTAGGATGAGACTTGCTGCTGATGTGCCCCCTCCCAGCGATGCCATCCCAGCTGCACTGCAGCGGGGAGGGCAGGGGGCTGGAAAAATGTGAAAAAGAAGGGAAAGTTTCTCCATTGGCAAGAAGTGACTGTTAGTTTTAGTTTTGTTAATGGTAAAGCTAGTGCATTGCCTACTGTAAAGAAGCTCTAGTCTTATTTATTTTAAGGTCTCTTATTTTGGGGTACCTCCCTGCAAAGTCACCTTCCCACGGTTCCCTGACTCGGCGGGCGCTGGGGGATTTGGTGGTCCCACATGCTGTGGGTCCTGCTGGTGGGGTGGGGTGGAGGCTGCAGTGACAAATCCCCTCGGAGAGCGTCGCAAGGTCAGGCGCCCGCCGGGAGTGGGAGCTGCCATCTTCTGCGTGGCTCTCCCTTCCTCTCCCGGCTGCAGAAGCCCTTCGTCTTGCTGAGAGCTACCCTGTACCCTCGTTGCACTTCTTCAATGACATGCCGTGTCTCTTTTTTTTGTTGTTGGTTGTTGTTGCTGTTGTTTGTTTGTTCAACACTATTTCTGGCTCTGAGAAATAAAAGTGATGATGATATCTGTTAACTGTTAACCCTCTATGGATTAGTATTTCTTTTTTTAAAAAGGAACCCTAGAGTTTGTATTAAACCCCACTCCTGGCTAGTTCTGTATTTATTTAATGGCTGCGTGGATAAGGTGGGAGCGTGGGGGCAGGGTAGTTGTCCCGTGACACCCGGAGTCGCTGATGCAGAGACAGCTTTCCTCGCTGCCCAGAGCAGCCTGCTTCTGTGGAGGCCCATAGTTGTGTGCATGCGGCAGTGTCTAGGCAATGGGACCTTAGACCTTCATGACATGTTTTTTTGTTGGTTTTTTTTAAGTTAAAAAAGGAAAAAACAATAAATGAGCAACTTCTGTTTATGTGCTGTAAGTAGCATGTGTTCAACCTATTGAATCAGCTGTTAAACCTTGTGGATGAAGTAACTTGCCTGGCTCTGAGTTTATTATTATCTAGAGTAGATGAACCTGGATGCTCCTCAACCGGTTTTATAGAAGGGGGTTTTTCACTGCGTTGTGGAAGGTGGAAGCGGTGTGTTCGTTAGTGTTGTGTTAATTGGGGGGGGAGCAGACATGTCCCACAGTTATGCTGGGGTACCCTGACTTCAGTGGGTGGGGGGCACCTGGCCACAGCCCCCCTGGGCTGTCTCCAACTCCTGTAAAGTGACTGTTGGTGAGGTGGGGGTGAGGGGTTTCCTCTCCGTGCCCTGCGAGGTGGTCGACATCTCTGTATGGGAGTGTCTCCTTCTCTCCCTCTTGTCTTCTCCAGGACTCGGTGTTCTGTACAACCCGAGAGTGCTTTGTATTTCTTAGAAAAATGCAGAACTTGTGATACTGAAAAGAATGGTGCAAACCAATATCTGATTAAACTGGTTCCCTGTCGAACGCTGTCGGATGTGCTGTGTCTTGTCACCTCGCCAAACCTAACGAGTCCGGCAGCGCTCTGTGGCAGCCCGTGCTCTGGTGGCAGCTTGATGTCTGGCCTTGGTATTCCCCAAGTGGGGAGGGACTAGTAAAACACCGGATCTGACCTAGCAGCGCTCCTGCTTGACCTTCACTTGGACAAATGGTCTTTTCCTACCCCTGGGAGCAGATCAAACCCTTCTCTGGCTCTTCTCCCTGCTGTGGGAAGCTCACGTTCCCTGGTGGTTCTGTCACCAGGGAGTCTGAACTGCCCCTGGGCTGGGAGCAGCAGAGGAGGAGTGAGGCTGGACCCAGGACTCTCTCCAGGGCTGGAGGTGCTTTCCCCACCCCATGGGCTGCCCCAGGATGCTCTGGGTGACCCTGCAGGCAAGTAGGCAGAGATGGGCTTGTGGAGGCCAGGTGGGAAAAGCTGATCCTGAGGGGAAGGGAGGAGACCTGGAGATACGGGTCTGTTTCTTACTCTGACACTCTCTTGCAGTGTTGGATGTCTCCCAGTTTGTTGTCCTGGTGTCTGGTGTGCGAGCTGGAGTTGCTCTCAGCTTGGGTTTGGGAGGAAGGGTTGTGGGAGGCTTAGACCACTTCAGTGCGGTCAGGGTTGGGTGCCAGCAAGGTCTGTGCTGGGGAAGGTGTAGGGCAGAACTAGAGGTGCTGGACTGCTCTCTCTAGACTGGGGTCTGTCCTTCTGCTCTGCCAGACACCCTGTCCAGAACAAAAGGTAGAAAGGAGTATTGAGCAGTTGGGGGTGCCCTGGGGCAGGGAATGGGCACAGGCTGGGCTGCTGCACTGAGCCCCCGGGGCTGAGTAGCTCTATAGCCACCCTGGTGGGGTGATGCCCCTAGCTATAACTAGGAGCTGGTGGGACACATGGTGCCCAATGAGCTTCAGCTGGGTTCTGAACTTCCCCTTCCAGCTGTGTGATGGGAAGGCTGGGGTGTTGCAAGGTGGACCAAAGGAAATCCTGTCTGTCTCACTGAGCATTGCTAAAGCACTTGGCCTTTATCAACTCCTAAACTTCACATCTCAACATCATTGTGACCAGGGGAGTGGAAGTCTTGGCCTTTATTAGAAAGCTGGAGGTCACCTTCAAGCCTGCAGCTCCAGAGATGGGTCTTGCAGCTTCTTGGAGCAGCGTTGCTGGTCCTGGCTCTTCTGAATGCTTCACAGGACCAGAGCAGTTGAGCTCATTGACTGTGAAGGACTTGGCTGAGTAGAGCCTTTCCAGAGGTCACAGGAGCCTGAAAGGGTGTTTGAGGGTCTCTGCTTCCCTGGAGGAAAGGGCAGGGGGGCTGCAGGGCTCTTCTCCCTCCTTGGGCACCTGAAGGTGAGATAAGCCCAGGCCTGGAACTGAAGCTGTCTGCTGTGCATCTCGCCGTGAGCAGCAGAGTCTCCACCAGCTGTGTACCCCAGTTTTGGGACTGGTGGTGTTTGTCTGGGTAATGAGACTGGAGTCATGAGCCCTTGGCAGCCCTTGGTGCTTGAGTTTCTCTCCAGAGCCTGGCCCTCGTGGCTGGCAGCACCCATGGGAGCTCACCTGGGGATGCTCCAGCACCACAGCTCCTGGCAGCCTCAGCCGGTGAGGTGGGACAGTGCCAGCCCCTCCGACCAAGAGGTGAGGGCTCCAGCTGGACCAGCACGGTGTGTCCAGCTGCCTTCCCCCCGCTGGGCAGCCCCAGGCTCGCTGCCTGCCCACGGGTGCCCCACCCCTGGGCTACCTTCCAGGTGAAGGTCCGTAGCAGCAGAGCAGTTTGTCTCCCAGGTCTGCGCTGAGGGCAGAGCCGTGCCCCTGCTCAGACGTGGTGGGTTTGACCACCCCTCCTGGGGCGTGGGGACACCCTTCCTTCTGTCACTGCACTGCCAGACCTTGGTGATGGCATCCCCTTCCAAAACCTGCAGTGTCATCTATTGACTGAGGAGACAACTGCAGGTCGGTGCTGGGGTGCAGCAGCTCCCCCCCGGACCCGAGGTCGGTGGCAGACACTGGGGCTCGGTGTGACACCCCCTCAGGCGGTGGGACAATGGCCAGCCTGTCCTACATCTAGACCTGGAGGGAGGCTGGAGCCTGGCTGGTCTTTTCCAGGAGTGTGTCCGGCTTCTCCTGCTGAATCCACCTGAAGAACCTTTTTTGGGGGAGTGAAACTCATATCCCTTCTCCCTGCGTGTGCTCCGAGGGGCACAGGGCCTGGAGGAAGGGGGGTTTTGGCAGCACCGAAGGGGTCGTGGCTTGTCCCCAGGCATTGCTGTCCCCCTGTCCCCTCCTCACGGGGACACTGTGCACGGTGGTGCCCTGGGTGCAGCACTGGGGGTGGGGGGGCTGGCAGCAGCCCTGGGGTGATGCTGCTCCTGCTTGATCCCCTCCTGTGGTGGGGGCAGCTGGGCAGGACCCTGACCTGGGGCTGGTTTGGGTGGTTTAGGCAGCAGCCGAACTGGCCCCAGGGCTCGGGGCGACTGAAACCCCTTCCAACCCCCCCGCCGTTGGCCCCTTTCCCCCTGCTCTGATGTGTGTGTGGGGTGTGTGTGTGTGTCCCCGCTGTGCGTGTGGCGCTGCGGGCTCACCCCGCGCCTGCACAACAAGATGGCCCAGATCACGGCAGGGCTTTTACGCAACCCGGCAGCTCTCTGCTATAAATAGGCACCGCCATGGAGGAGAGAGAGGGGGGCGGCTCCGCGGGGCTCGGCACAGCGGGAACCCCCACATCCCGGGGGAAAAGCCACCCCCCCCCCGGGTGTTGCGGGGCAGTCCCCCTTCACCGCATCCAGCATCCCCCCGCCTCGCCCCGGGAGCTCCGCAGGGAGCGCTCTCCTCCCCAGCCGCCATGGCCGGGGAATCCTCACTGCTCCCTTCCTCCTGCCCTTCCCGGCGG